AAAATCTTACTTTCATGTAGTGTCATATGATTAAGACCATTTCATCGAATCCTTTATGAAGAAATTTCATGTTCATGAAAATGCTTAAAAATGAAATGCAGATGCAGAATACAAAAATGCATGAAATGTTCGAGGGATTGATCCAAAAATATGTCTGTTATTATAAATAATCCTTATTGGGGGCAAAAGTGTTATTTCTTAATAGACAAAAACATTTTAAAGGTATATTCCTTCAGACCCCGAACAACTTCTAACAGGTTAATTCATCTTCCACATTCTTCTGTCACCAGTTGAATACCCTATCGAACCGTTCCAACTTCTCTGGCTAAACCATACAAGTGACGAGCTGCTTTTTGTACTTGTTCCCAGAAGTATCGAATGACTGCATCTCTGGCTTTCATCCTTGCTGAGCCTGTTCCTAACAAAAACACCATTGGAAACCTCCATCGATAGAAATTATCCAAAGTTTATCTGCTTGTTTCTTGAATTCGTTAACAATGGCCTCTAGTTTCAGCTATCACATTTCCATCTTGTTCTCGTTGTCTTTGAAGGGACTCCCCAGGTCAGTAACCTTTTTCTCGTCTTGCCCCTGTAACTTTTGTCAACCTGTTTTGGAAAAGTTGACTTTTGATGTGCTTGGTGTAAACCCGGTCCATTCTGAGTCTTTTCTGACCATAGCCGGACCTCTGAGCTTTTCATCTCTTGTATTATAACCCCTTTGTCCATTAATGCAAGTTATTTACGTTTAACGAACACGTTTTTGATGGATCAACACCTCTTTTGAATGATGTAAATGATAAAAAAATAAAAAAAAAATAAAATGATGTAAATTACAAAAATGAAAGGGGAAAAAAGTTAGTGAGATATAGATAATAATCAAAATGATAATGAAAAAAGTCCTACCCCACATGATATCTACCCCACATGCTAAGTGAGATATAGATAATAATCAAAATGATAATGAAAAAATTCCTACCCCACATGCTTATTGTTCCTACGCAGACATGATTTCTACCCCGCATGTTAATTTTGAACAAGTCCTAACCGCATATCTTTCTAGTTCGCATGCTTTGAATAGAAAGTAAAACAAGAAATAACTCAAGAAGCCTAGGGTTTGAAATGAAGTTTTAGGGTGGGCTCTAACTCCTTGTAGTCTCCCGGTTTAGGTTCTAAAAAGGGTACCCGAGTTTTCCCTACTGGTGCCCCCTTGGGCTTGTCAGACCCTTAGTCCTAAGCTCATTACAATCTCATGTGGACTAAGTTAAACTCAAGATGATACATTCCCTTATGCCCGCACGGTGAATAAATTCACACGAATACATAAGGTATATGAATCCTGAAGGTTACTTACTAGGCCTGCATGGAGAATAAATTCTCATGAATGTGTCGCTTTCACCCCCACTTAAAAAGAGTTCGGAGCTCGGGTATAGAGCCAGAGATGAAAACTTTTACAAAAATCTGAAATCATTGAAAAACGTCAGTACAACTATTTATTTGAAAAAAAATAATCAAAGATAAACAATAAGAATTGAATAAATAAATTAAAATTTAAACTTACCATTTTCGCTTAAAAAGACAACTGAAAATTAATTTTAGCTTGACTCACTTACCTGTCCCTAGCGGAGTCGTCATGCTGTCATAACAAATTTTTAGCGGAACAATAAAATGTTATTTTAAAAAAACGGTCACGACTTTAATTTTGAAAAATTAGGGATTTTGAAATTAAGTTGGATAGAATTGAAAAAGAGTCGTCATTGACCTTTGAGTTAGGTAGGTCAAATACCTAAAAACGTCTTTTAAAAACAATTTTAAGAAAAATCATTTTTAAGACAAAAGACTGGTCTGCGATTACAAAGATTCGATTAAAACATGTTCGGGAGTCGGTTACAGTCAAGAAAGGATTAACACCCTTGAAATGCCCTTTCGGTACCATTTAATTTGTCAGTTGTCTTAATTGCGAAACTTTAAATTTAAAAATTCAATTCGAATTACTTATCTTTTATCGATTGAAATTACTACTGAAAAAATAAACAAAATATTAGATAATAAAATAAAATATTGAATGCTAAACAAAAAGAAAAAATTTAGAAGATTAAATTAAAAATAAAAACTTTTAAGATAATAATAATAATAATATGAAAAAAAATGTCACAAGAGAAATAAATAAAAATTAAGAAAAATATTAAAATAAACTATAATTACGAAAATATTAATGTTTAAAAGAAATAAAAATATATAAAAAAGAAATAATATCAATAATAATTTTATTTTTAAAAATGAAGAAAGTGTTTAAAAATCACACAATAATTAAACACAATACCAAGCACACAAAATCATTAATTAAAATTAAATTAATTCAAAATTAAGATACCAACATAAAAGAAAATAAAATTATATTAGTAACCAAAATAAAACATGTATAAATGCCTAGGCTATATTTGAATAAAACATAAATTAGGAACTAAAATATAAACATAATAAAATTTGAAATCCAAATTAAAATACTGAAAAATTAAATTTAGTGACTAAAATGTAAAAGTTACAAATTACAGGAACTGTGGACGAGGTTTGCCCATTTTTAAAATTACGCAGAGGTCATTCCCCAAAACAACGTAGTTTTGGGGAGGGTATTTATATCCCATAACATGCCTAAATGCCTCCTTCATATCTCATTTTTCATTTTTGATTCTCTCTCTAAGAGAGAGAAGCTCTGACTTCTCTCTAAATCCCTCACTAGAGGGAAACCGGCCAACGGCCGGCCACCGTGCGCTGCCACCGTCGGTCACTATTCTGTCGGTAACGGTGGCCGAAAAATATAAAAATACATCAAATTGAAACTCTCACCACCCTAAAGTCGAATCTGGCGACCTTTCTTTCTAAAAACCCCTAGATCGACGTAGATCTAAATTTTTACCTTCAATGTTTCGACTTCTCCGGCGATGTTTGAAGCCTCCGACGGTCGTGGTAAGTCTCTCATTCTCTTCTCTCTATTTTTTATATTTTTTTTGCTCTTGTTTGGATGCTTGCTCTCTGTTCGTATCTCTCCCATTTTCATGTTCGAACGATCTCTTATAATGGTTATGTGTAGTTTCGGTGAAAATCCAAGATCATTCGAGATTCGTTTATTTTTTTTTACTTTGGCTTGATTTTTGCCTACTGGTGATGTAAGTGATGACAATGGCGACTTCAAGAAGTCTCGACGGCCGACTGGAATGTCGTTATTGGCGGCTGACTTTTTTTTTGACCCGGAGAAAACGAGTGTCTACAATTAGAGAGAAGTTATTTGAGTCATTTCCAAACTTTGTATTGGAACAATTTTAAAAGGATATAACAGATCTTAATTGAATCTTTGTTTTATATTATAAATATATATATATATACATAACTGAGGTAAATCAAACCTTAAAAAATGATTAAATCTTTTATTAACTTTGCAAGTATCAATAAAATTTAAATTGGTTAATAATTTTTAACAAAAGATTAACAATTTTTTTTATCTAGATTAGGGATTGGGCGTTAGACCCAATTTTATTTTTATCTAGATTAGTAGTATTTTTGTTCATTATGTTCTAAACACTTTTTTCGTAAATAAATGGGAGATATTTTGAGTTGAACGTTAATATGTTAATCGTGATATGATAAAATATGATATTAGGATTTTAAACGACTATCATATTTCAGTTATCATGTTAACGTCCAGCTTAAACAATCACCAATTTTTTAATGGAAAAAAACGAGTTTAGAACATAATAAATAATTAAGTGACTATATTGTAACTTTTAGTATCAAAAGAATTAACAAAGTAATACTCCATAATCAGAAAACTATTTTATAACTTTTAATAATTTAAATATTTAATAAAACAATATCTTATAATCAATAATCATTTGTCTACTTTAATCAAAAATTTTAATTAGGTGAACAAAATAGGAAAAAATACTAAATTAATGAACGAGTTAACTGTAGACCGTCGGATCAAGTCATTTGATATGACCGTTTGAAACGCTCACTCCTCGACTCAAATTTAAATTTCAAACTTCTTGTAAACTTTTCATCAATACCCTGTTTCCCTCTTTAAATCTATGCAGTTTCATTTTGCAAGAAGAAAAGATATATTTCAATCATCATGTCGAAGATGAAATATGATCGGAAGCCACCGCTTGCTGCTAAATCGCCTATCCGTCTTCATACCGGCCGCTCCCTCCGATCAAACTCTGCCTCTCTGCTAACCCCACCAGGTCAAGAACTCGTAACCATTTTTTTGATTCATTTTACAGTAAAACAATAAATAATTTTCTTTTCATTGCATCTTTATTTTTGGTTAAAGGTTCTTTAAAGAAATCTCAAATCCGACCCGAGTACCTCTCCATTTCTTACGAGTTACTGGGTTTGGCTCGGAAAGTTAAAGACGAACTCGGGAATGAGGAAAATGAGAAGACTGGTTCAGGCGAGGAGACTATCCTCGGTGCCAACAAATCTTGCCCGGTGTTCGAAAAAGGCCAATTGTACGACGAGTACTCGGAGAGGAGAAACGAGAGGCTGAAGAGAAAGAAAGGCGAAACCGAGAATGAACCAAAGACGGGGCATCAATATCATCTCGGAGTAACAGTTGAATCTTCAAAGAGAAGAGGGTCATCGAAGAAGCTTGAGAGCTTGAGGAAGTCGGCGATGGAGACTCCAAGGTATCTGCTACGGAGCATGAACAAAGAGAATAAGAAGCCTCCTCTTCCTGTGTCTGTCACTGCCTCTCAGAAGAAAACAGCGGCTAGAAGAGTTGGTAAGCTCTGAAAATTGGGACTTTGGGAATTTTCTTCTTCAATTTCAAGTAATTTTGAAGGTTTGAATATAGACTACAGATGTTTCCATCTCCCAAGTGTGTTTGGTTTCTGGTTACTCTACCAGACAATATTTGAATATAAACATAACGCATTCACTCGGGCTTATTACATTTTGTTGGAAACTATTGTTGTTCTCTACATAATATTTACAAGTGCAAAACAAAATAAAATCCCATGCTTACTCGGTCCTCGCACTATTATTATTCACAAAACAAAAGCTAGGCACTTGGGCTTCAGTAATCAAATCCGTCCGGAAGATTCGTGTTGGAGCCGAAAAGCTTATTCATCCGACATTCCGTCCTCCTCCGACTCTTCCACTTCAGGATCATTTAGCTTATTAGCCACAATCATTTTGTCTACCACAGAAGCTCTCTCTTCAATACTTTCCCGCTTTGCTCCGTCTTTTTGCGATTTCTCATGAACACTGCCCACGTAATGGTCATTAGTTTCTCCTGGATTCTGTTCAGCTCCATGAGCAACCTGGGAAGAATCTTAAGAAATCTGTCAAGTTAAGTTTTTCATCTCAAGGCTAAGCGGCCATACAAACAGGCACAGATTTGATCACCTACCAGGATAGTCGACTCTTCAACATTCTCCTGCTCTGGTGCGTCGACTTTTAATGTCTCATCGACACCACTTAATTCGGCGTCATTAGTTTCTTTTAGACTTTCGTCGACTTTATAATAAACCTGTGGAAATTTTGTAAGTGATCTGTCAGTCCAAGTTTTCCTTCCAAGGAAGGTACTATGACCATTCAAAGTTCCAAAAGCTATAAGCCAAAGTTCACAATACTATATATACACAATTATCCCATGCGAAGTATGGTAAGTAGGAAGGCAGGTGCATTTTCATGCCAATTAAAAGACAAAAAATTGATTCGTTAGTAGGCCGGGATGGATATAAATGAAACAATATAATCAGAAAGACCGGGAAGAGATAATCGTACCACGCATGTGCGAGCTGGTGACAGTACTTTGAAAGAATTAGGGCGATTATTGAAGTTAGTTTCAGGCACACCCGGAATTCCTTCAGGAGATGTGAAATGATCCACATCATGAGCCACCTACCAGAATAATAACTAATTATATACCATTACCAGGAGAGAAGACAATTCATGGATAAGAAAGAGAGGCTATAGATGCTACTGCTTCATTAGTACAGTATCAGGGTAGATAAATTGTGGTTGCCAACATACAGGACCAGACCACAACCCATTCCTAGACCCAAGGAAACAATCAAAATTGTTTTCATGTCCCAGAAAGGTTCATGAAATTAGTAGCTGTAGACTTCCAATTATATGGAAGAAAACAAGCCAGAGAACATGACTCTTGTATCAAAAGAAACAGGCAAGAATAACAACAATAGCAGGAGTTCTTACTCTTCCATGCCCACCAAATTCCCAAGCATCACTATCCAACGCAACTCTATACTTCCCTGGCAAGTCACACCCCACTTTGTACCTGCATGTTTCGCACAATAGTCACTTGAAGAGTTTTAAGATGCAAGTAATTACTTTCTGGCATATATAGACGAGTAGACTAGTCTCCATCCATGAATTGTTCCTTGTACAAACACAAATAAAAATATATATGTTTTCATCACTTGAAACATACATACCCGTCATATGTATTTTCTGGATGAAAGTTGAACACGAAAACAAGATCTCCCCTCTCAAAGACGATAACCTAAATCAGGAAATCATTATCGAATCCACCAAAACTGAAATGGTTAAAACATGGCAACAGAAGGTTATAAGGCAGAGAAGAACTAAACAAGGGTGTAGTGCCATTATCGCTATCCGTTGGAAATAAAAGAAGAAAGAAAAAAGATACACCAGCATGATGACATAACAAGAAACCATCCATTGTACCATACGTGTTTGAAACTCATAGAAGGAAATAATAATCTTGTTTGTTGGCCATTGCAGTCTTTTGGTTTTCCAATAGCCATAAAAAAGAGTGATACATAAGCAATTTGTTATTTCTAAAATTTAAAATTTTTTTTTGATAGAAGTTGGAGGTCTCATTAAAAACTCCCTTCGTATTCTTCCACATACTTAGAAGTATGTTGAAGAACAAGGAAGGGAGAAAAGAGTGCCTCATATTTTATTAAATATAATACTAAGTACATGAGGTAACACCAAACCCACATACGGGAATAAACACCAATACAACCCATATCACCTAGAAATCTTACATCGTCAACCAAAAAGCCCCTAAATCACCTCAAGATGTAAGATAACATAACAACAACAAAAAACCAACAATTACAACCACAAACTTAAAAACGCCTCTGAATACAGCAGCCGAACAATCACAACCCAATTGGAGGATCAAGATCTAAAGAAATATCGCAATCTTCAGGAACCCAAGAATTAGGTTTGAAGGAAGGATCAACTTCATGCACCAAGATTTTGAATAAATGATCCCCGACCTTCAACTCCAACAACTCATTAATTCTCACTTGAGCGTTTGTGAGTATTTTGATTTTAGCCCGATCAAAAGACGAAGGGAACTCACAACTGTTATCGATTGCTATTAACTTGCCCCACTTAGTAGCTATGTTTTTGAAAGTATCCCAATTCCAAGCGTGAAAAGGAATACCTTCGCAAACTAGCCAAACGCGCCGGCTCTCCACCACAAGGCTCTCAGACCAAGTTTCCACTCTGGAAAACCATTCTGCAAGAGTTTCTAACTTTTCATCCTTCACGCATCTCAACGAATTAGAATCTTCAAAAACCATTAGAACTACATTTCCAGCAGCTCTCATAAGCGTGAAACCCGCTAGTCCTTTGGCTTGTATTTGGTTAGCAAGATTACCAATCTTGATAAAGTTCTTGCACCACCCCACAAGACAGTTAGACAACACATGAAGTTTATCTGCGTCCACAACACCCTCAACTTCACAGTGTTTAATTGTCGGAAAAACTTCCAGCCCCGACTTACTATGAACAACTTTCGAGGACTTTCGCCAGTAAGACTGTCGGGGTTTATGTTTAGCCAAAGAGACTCTAATTTTGTTGCCGTAAATATGATAACCATTCATCTTAGAAATCGATGTCCTTGCTTCTTCAATTGTAGCAAAGCGAATAAACCCAAAACGAACCCCATTCGAGTTTCTTTTTTTGGGAATGAAGGCATCAATAACTTGACCATGTGAGCCAAATATGGATGCAAGTTTCTTCCAATGGATCTTCTCTGGAAGGTTTTCGATAAAAATCGTGTAACAATCCTTTATGGACCCATTGCGAAAATCTGGTTGGCCTTCTTTCGACCGATTATAAAACCATTTCTTCTTCTTCCCACCACTTCGGAAAATTTTGCATCGGAATACCCTTTCGAATAGATCTCCTTGGCTCCACCATGATCAACATTAGCGACTGGAAGCGTTGGTGTTGCATGAACAAAAGACAGCTTTCCGTTCCTATGTTTCCCTTCTTGTGAGCATTTCTTCAAAGGACTGGATGATAGTGGATTTCACCCGACCTCGCCGAAAATGATCCCGAATTTTGTTGATTTTGGGTTGAAGGAGAGTGTCTGTAAGTGGTGCCGTCGGACTCAACTATCCAACCCGCCTCACGTGCCAAGGCTGCCAAAACATCGTTCTTAGCAGCATTCGGTGGAATAGAGAAGTTACCAAACTGTCTCAATCCGGCCAACAAGCGTCTGGTAAAAACTCTTCTTTGCGGTTTCCGTAACCTTGTCCTCTCCTTTTCATTCTCAATTTTACGATTGTCCTTACCGGAGTAAGATGAAGAGGCTGCACCAGCGGATCCAGATTTCTTGAGAAGACTGCCTCGTGGAACTGCATTTTCCTTCATTTTTAAATCGTTAACCCGCTTATTCAACTCTGCCACTAATGCTTTAAGAGCCTTCACTTTCGCTTCTAATTCCTTGGCAGACTCCAGGGGGATATCACCAACTGCAACACGGCAGTCTGGTTCAAGCGGGAGATGAGAACTCCTAGACGATGAAGGAGGAACAATAGGAGGCCTCACGGAGGAAGCAGCCACCGCACCAGCTGAGTCAAACCCTCGAAGTTGGCTGGGTTGAGACGTTGGATGGGGTTCCATGGTGAATACTCAGCTGTACACCACTGCTCGACACAAGAGAAGACGGGATTAGGTCACGTTTAGGCACTGCGCTGGGTTGAGTGGCGGAGGCGAACTCGGACGGCTGGAGGCTTCGAAAATCTGCAAAGGACGAGTGTAGATCTGCGACTAAAGACAGCGTTTTTCGCAAATGCAAGTCCAGATCTGTATTCACCGTGAGCAGACGACCATCCTAGGAAAAAGCGGCGTCAAACGGTGGTCAGAGTGTGGCGGCGGACGGCGGCAGCAGACGGCGGGCGGCGGCAGCGGCCAGCGGGCAACAGACGAATGAGACAACACTTTTAAATTTAAAAACACCTGGGCCCTAGAGAGATGGACTGCTGCAATGATATTACGAAAATTGCAGATTTACCTTGTTTACTTCATCAGCGCAGCTCACCATCTGCTTTGCCGATGAAAGGAATGGAAATTTATCATCAAGTGCATTCATAGCTCTATCAAATGCATTCATGAACTGCAAAGCCAAATGCAAAGGGAAAAGTTTAGGTAAAGATTGCATGGGAGGAGCAAAGCACTCCTGAATGGAGAAAGATAAAAAAGTAAGATACAACAATGATTAATAGTGAAGAAAGTTCAGTTCATAAAATAGATTATAATGATGCCTTCAAAGTTAAAAAGGCAGGTGAGCAGTGTTTGTGTTTCCACAATTATCTACCCAGTGGAAATAATGCACGGAAACTTTAAGAAATTCTTAACAATGAAAATGACCATGGACCTTGTATCTTAAGTGATCGGTATCCACCAGGTTCCACTGTCTTGTGCACTTTTCGTAACTCCACCCATTGCCTTCTCTCGGAAAGTCAATCCATTCAGGATGGCCAAACTGTACAAACATGCAGAAGAGATATCTACTAAACTTATTTGTTAAAAGAGAAAACAAGCCCTTATATTAGAAAATTTCCCTCTAGTCATGTATAGCCCATCACTCCTTTTTTCTTTTCTTTTTTTGTCTTTTTTACTTAAATGGACTGGGCATATCTTCATCGGTTCATTCTACTTTCCTAGACTTAATATTTCTCCAATATCCACCCAGATAAAATCTTGTAATGTCCAGTATGAAAAGTTGAGCCAGAATGTTTACCTCGTTTCCCATAAAATTAAGGTAACCCTCTCCTCCTAATGCCATAGTGATACAATGTATCATCTGCAAAAGAAATTTTAAATAAAGGAAAAATGTTAGGGGTGAGAAAGTAACAAATAATGAATTAAAAAAGAAAATGATCCACGCTGACGCAAAATATGATGGCTGAATAAAATAATCAAAGTTCCATATTTGCAGTTTTCATAACAACACATGGATTCATGGTTGCTGTAATTCATCAAGGAAAGACATTAAGGAAACAACAGAGAAAAGTCTATATAAGTTTTGAGTTAGCACCAACCTTGTGAAGTGCAATCCCTCTCTCAATGGCAGGAGAAGCATCTGTTAAACATGACATGCCGGAGTACATTTCTTTGTCCATCAGGAAAAATGCTATTGTCTTGTCACCAACAATAGACTGCACCAAAAAAGAGTGGTATCAGAGAAACGTGACAAATGGCAAAATATACAAACAATTAAAGGAAAGGAATCAGTAAGAAGTGCCAATGTGGTGTCAGATTCAGGGAAGGAGATCGGCTATGATTAACCATTTATGATATGCATCCTTTCAGGCTTTGCTTCGAGATAGAGGAGAAAAAAAAGAGGACAGTAAGCATTTTATTGCTCAAGCGTTCTTTATGTTATATCTCTTTTTGTCATCATCCAAAAGAAAGAAAAACGAAGTCCAAAGGAAAAGAAATTCTGGTGTCTCATGAAGAAATGATTTAACTAAATTTAGAAATAGATTGGTGAGAAAAACAATTCCTCGCTGTTTATACCTGATCATGACTTTCAGCATAGGATATACACTTCTCAGTGTGTCTCCTATTTGTCAAGTTCCAGGATAAATCCTTCATTAACCACTGTTCATCATTCTTATTCTTCAAGTAATCAATCCACTTGTCAGGGATGGCCATTGCTAGCCGGTAATCAAAACCAATTCCCCCTTCATAGACAGGCCTACCAAGTCCAGGCATACCGGAAACATCTTCAGCAATTACAGTTGCATCCGGCAAGATGCTATGTATCAGAGAATTGGCCAGCATTAAATAAACAACAGCATCAACATCAGTAGCCTCGTTGAAATACTCGTTGTAATTCCCTGTGAATGCCATGTTGATACCGTGGTGATGATACAACATGGAGGTCACTCCATCAAACCTAAACCCGTCAAATTTGAACTCCTCAAGCCACCACCTCAAGTTTGAAAGGAGGAAGCGAAGGACTTCCCAATTACCATAATTAAACAGCCGACTATCCCATAACTTGTGGTAACCTTTTTCTCCAGTGTGAAAATATGATTCCTGTGAACTTTGGCCAACATCAAAGCCATTGAGTCCATCAGTGACATTGTTACTTGCATGGCTGTGAACAACATCCATTAAGACCTGTAGACCTAAGCTGTGAGCTTTATCAATTAAATATTTGAGGTCCTCAGGAGTTCCAGATCTACTACTTGCAGAAAAAAAGTTCGTAACATGGTATCCAAACGATGCATAGTAGGAGTGCTCCATTACAGCCATCAATTGTACAGTATTATAATTATTTGCCTTAATTCGGGGTAAAACTTCATCAGCAAATTCTCTGTATGAACTAATACGTGGTTCTGAACTACTCATTCCAACATGTGCTTCATATATTCTTGGGGCTTTAGGTTTTGGAGGACGAGGGTACTTAAACTCATACCTGCATTATCAATGAAGAGTACATTAAAAGGAACAATTTCTAGATCACATGTATTAAAATTACAAAATCAGCAATATCAAAAGAATAAGGCAGCAAGTTTCCAATCTCAAGCAATATCAAACTGATTTCAGTAATGGTCTTTAAATTATGGATTAAAAGAATACGCAAGTACTACAATGTCCAGAACCCTGCACCACACTGTTGTTTCTTCTTCTTCTTTCCCTTTTTTGGGCCTAGACACAACACTTTTGTTGACTACTAACTATGTTTCTTTTATATTAAATGAAATCATGAGTAAAAATATAAATAAAATAAAATCTGAAGAAACTGCACCTTTCTGAAGGTGGAGGATCCCAATGCACGCCGTCATATGGTGCTCCAAATGTATTAGGGTCTACAGTGGCATACTTAACCCAAGCAGGAATCCTATCTACCCAAACTCCATCACCATGCTTGAATCTGAACTTGACTCTTGAATTATGAGGAATAGCAGGGTTTCCCTCATAATCCGGAACTTTTATGCTCCAAACGCCAAATTGATTTTTTTCCATCTGGTGGTTGGAACCATCCCATCCATTAAAATCTCCAACAACTTGAGCTTCCCTGAATGATGCAAAAAACTCTAACTAAGCAACAGATATATGTAGCTTGCTAGTACCAAAAGTTAGTATATTTGTGTTTCAGAAACCAAAAACTTACTGAGCAGCAGGAGCCCACTCACGGTAGACAATTCCATCGTCGTCTTTGTTAAATCCGAATTTCAAATAACCTATAAAAGAGGGTAAAAGACAGATTTCATTTGAACATTCGCATATGAGATACTGATTTAACTACTTAGCAAGAAACTTCATCATCGAAATAGCCTTTGATAAAAGCAAATCAATAAGCGGATGGCATTTAAATGACCTTTTGCAAATTCCTCCAACCCTCCCTCGTACTTTTCAAAGAGAGTGTTCTGATCCACATATTTCTTAATTCTATATTGAAAGTGATCTTTAAATGGTCGGAGTGCAGTATCAACATCGAAGATACGGATGTGTTCTGCTTCTTCCTCGGAGGTTGTCATCGTTGAAGTATCCTGAACTATAACAGCTGATATTGGGGAACCATAGCTGACCTAGAGGGGAAAGTAGAGCAGAGAAGATGAGTTATTCAACACCAAAACACTTACGATTCCATTTCCGTATATGACACCAAAGATAGCCAAGGATTTCAATCAATTTTACATTTCATCGTGCGAGAAATTAGAAATACGTTCACTAGCGCTGATTAGGACTAATATTTATGAAAATTAAAGAAATCGTACCCTTCGATACAAGGAGTTGCAGGGAAATAAATGTCGCCGTAACAAATTTTGGGATCCACGACTATACTCAGCGGCTAGTTGTTTGGCAAGTTGATGATTAGTTGTTGAACGCTGGGGAAACATAAACAAGTTAAACAGCCGTCGGAGTAGAAACGACATTGCAAATGATCAAGTATTTTAAGAAATTAGAGTAAAAAGAAAAGACTGAACTAATATTACGAAAGAGCGATTGTTGTTGGATGAAGGTGAGAAAGATCGAAAAGCAGAAGGCGTAGCGAGAAGACTCAAGGAAGCCATCATCTTTGTGAATCCAAGATCCAGCCTCTCAAGCAAAGCTCAGCTCCATTGTCTCTTTTAAGCAAAGAATGGTTTAAACAGAGAGCAAAGCATAAACACAAATGATCAGCATTAGCTCCAAATCCCATATTTATTTAATGGAATAAAAATCTAGGCCGTTGGTTATTCAACGAAAAATAAGCAAAATTAGTTTTGTTAATTCAGCAGAAAAACAAGTGCTGCAGTTGAAATGGTGATCGACTTGCCTTCCGAAAGAGACAAAGCATATGCTCACACGTTGCGATTCAGCCGCCCGTTAAAATTCCAGGATTTATTATAAAAATCAAAAGGGTAAACTACTCTACTGGTCACTAATGTATTGTTTTCGTTTTCACCACTGATATTTTAAAAGTCACAAATCGATCATTAACGTTATCGTTTGTTACAAATTGACCACTCACCGCTAATAGGCGTGACAGAAAACACATGTAGACTGTTAACAGCCGTTAACAGGCTTATCTGGATGGTATAATTACACAAATAATACATTTTAGTTATATATTCTTTTAATTTGATCCTAATTTTAATAAATTAAAATAAATTACCTACGAATCAGGAGATATCATGTGTTATTGGTTACACATCTATCAATAATTATTAATTATTAATATTGGAGCAATTATGTAAGATACAATCTTATAATCACTTCAATGATTTAAAATAAATAAATAAAATTTTCAGATATTAAAATAATATTAGATTATACGTTTAAATGTTAAAATACGATTGAATCATATATAATATAATACTTTAAATATTCTTACATTGTTAATTAATATAATATAATCTATTGATTAAGCATCATCGTTAACATTTGGTTGTTGTGGCGGCATGAAGAAAGAAGCTAGTTTTAATAGGTTTGTTTATCAGCTCAGCTCCGTCACGCACCTAAAAACCAAAGAGATAAAACTATTTTTGCTCAAACTTGATGAGTGGGAGAGGCGGCGGCGGCTCATTTTGCATGGGATACTCTCAACCTACTAACCAGTTCATTCAACACTTGCATTCCACGCTTCATTTCTTCATACCAATCCCATTTTTCTTTTGTTTTTTGTTTTAATAATTAGACTCGGTTTAACCATCGTCTCCATGAGGAATTCTGCTTCACATTCTGTAATGATGGAGATAGAGCCTAATAAACCAGCGGGGAATGGTATGGTGGTCGGAGGTTTGAGTTCACTGAGTGAAACACTGTGGCCAGAGAAGACCAACACCGAGTTCGTCGGAGACGTATCCGCCAGGCTGACATTGAAGGACCTGACCGTGATGGTGTCTCTCAGCAACGGGACGACCCAGAAGGTGTTGGAAGGGCACACCGGTTATGCCGTGCCAGGCACTCTCACCGCCCTCATGGGACCTTCAGGCTCCGGGAAGTCAACACTTCTTGATGCGCTCTCCGGTCACTTGACTGCCAACGCTTTCCTCTCCGGAACCGTAGGTAACCAATGACAGGTGTGACACATGGCACATCTGGATTCATAGGTAAATTTATTTTAATTTATTAAAAGTATGATCAAATTGAAAGAATATATAAAAAATATAGACTATTTATGTAATTATACCATCCAAGTAAGCCTGTTAACGGTTGTTAACAGTCCACGTGTGTTTTCCGTCATGCCCGTTAACGGCAAGTGACCAATTGGTCACTAATATTTGACCAATTTGTAACAAACAATAACGTAAGTGAACAATTTATGACTTTTGAAACATTAGTGGTAAAAACGAAAACTTATTTAACCATTAGTGACCATTAGAGTAATTTACCCAAATCAAAAGTCGCCTGAATAAGCGAAGCAACGCTTCATTTGTTAAATGAACGAACATGAACAAGATTTTGCGTTCATTTAATTAAATGAATGAACATGAACAAAGGGCTCGTTCGTTCATTTACGTTCGTAAACATTCGATTATATGTTCGTTTATGTTCGAACAGACGACAAGTTGAATATGTTACGAAGATTATTGAATTTGTTGAACAAATTAACTTTAAGACTTTATTATGTTCATATAACTTATTTATGATTTATGTATGTTTTTTTCGTATTCGAATAAATTAACTCTAAAGTTGCAGGTTATATTAATGAATTTTAAGTTGTTATTCTTGTTATTTACTTTTTTTTACATTCATTTGTTGTGTTCGAATAAGTTTTTTTGTGTGTTTGTGTTGTTCGTTTATGTTCGTTCGTGTTCGTTTATATTCGTTTATTATTTAAATGAACGAACATGAACAAGCTATATTCCTTAATAAACGAACATGAACAAAAAAAAATTTGTTCGTTTATTTATTAAATGAACGAACATGAACATACATCCGTTAGTGTGTGTTCGGTTCGTTTATAGGCCTATCGTCTACTGTGCTTATCGACCGATAATGTTTCACTTGTGATGGGTAAAATAAAATTGTTGTTCGATTTGATTCGTTAAACGTTAAATTCATTAAAATTTTATTTGATTTGTACTCATTAAAAAATTTTATTGCTCGATTCAACTCAACTCGTTAAGCTCATATAATTTGGATAAAGTAATTAGAATTTAATTTTTGGGTGTATTAATAATTGATAGTTAAACATTTTTCTTATTTTTATAATAAGAATAATAAATTAGTAATAATTATTAATTAAAAATTTAATATTTTTTATTATCTATTAGTAAATGAGTAATTATTAATTAATTTTTTAAATAGAATAATTTTTTAAGGTAACAATTAAAAATTATAAAAAAAATAACAAACTACTCACGAACTTATTGAGTCAAGTTGGACTTTGCTTGCTTTAATTCGTTAAAATGTCAAATCAAAATCCAATTATATTAACTCAAATTAAATATTAATTAAATTTTAACCGAATTAAATTCAAACAACTCAACGATCAACTCATTAATCACTCATACTTTCGTTCTTTCCTTTTATCACTTCTCGTCTCTTTGTTTTTATATCAAAATTTGATTATAAATTGATATAATGTGTGATATTATATAAGAACTTTTATTTGATTTTCATGTATCACAAACATTTTTATGTGATATTTTACATTTGTTTACTGTACATGTAAGTAATTTTATTTATCTTGTCCAAATAATTTTTACTCAACGATTTTCAACTATTTTTAAAAAAAAAAGTGCAAATTCGATTTTTTTTAAAAAAAATTGATTTTTAAAAATTAAAGATTTAGAGTCTTCATCGATAATTTAAGATTAAGTATAATTATATACATATAAAATTACTTTTTAAAAGGAATTTTGAAATCTCTTTCTAAAGATAATTTTAATATTTGTATTTAATCAAAGATTTATAAAAAGTAAGTTCAAGAATTAATTATGTGGGAAATGGTGAACATCCTCACAATTATCCAAACTCGGTAACTACTTAATTATGCATTGTCTTGATATTAAATTTTATGAGTTCAAATTGTCATAACCATTTTTAGGTAAAATAATTAAATATTGTTTTTAAAAAACGATTATGACTTTAATTTGTAAAAATCGGTGATTTCGGAATTAATTTGAATAAAATAGAAAAGAGTCGCCATCGACCTTTGAGTTAGGTAGGTCGAATACCTAAAACCGTCTTTCAAAACAATTTTAAGGAAAATCATTTTTTAAGACAAAATTCGGTCTGCGTTACCAAAGATTCATTTAAATGGATTCGGGAGTCGGTTACGTGTGGAGAAGGGTAAGCACCCCCACAACGCCCAAAATTGGTACTGTGTCGCTTACACATTGTTGTAAATAGTGGAAATTACAAATCGAATATAAAGTTAAAATATGATCTATTTATCGAACATTGATTAATTTGCTTCGAATTAAATTAATTACAGAAAATTCTTTAACTCGAAAAGAAATATCAAAATTAGTAATCCTCCATCGGGAAAGCTAACTCGACTATTTCTTGTCAATAAAAGAATATTCCCTCATTGATAAATATGCAAATCGAATATAAATAAAATTGACGTTTGCAATTGAATAAAAGGAAATAAATAGTGAATTAAAAGTAACACACATTGCATTATTAAAATAAATTAATTAGTAAAATATACTCTACTTGTTGCAAGTTCCTATGTCGTTAAAATGTCGTATCGGATCGAACCACTTCGACCAAGTGGTACTTTCCACGCCCATTCTACGCATACGTGTTCTTGAAAATATAATCGAATATTTCGTACATAGATAAAAATATAATATAAAAAATGTAATTGCAAATACAAAAATAAAATATTTACGTTAAATGAAATTAAGAACATTATTTGCATAATACAAATAACCGAATAACAAGTACAATAAAATCATACATAAATGACTAAAATAAAATATTCACAAATGTCAGGGATAAATTCGAACATCAACCAAAATACCTAACATATAAAATCAGGGGCTAAAATGAAACTATTACAAACATTGGGACCAAAGTCAAATATCCACAAAAATGACATAACATACATTAGTAGGACTAAAATATAAACAAGGAAACATAGATGCCCAAAACAAAAGAAAATAAAATAGACATTAAACCAAATATATTAAAGAACAGAAAATGACTAAAATACAAACAATTAGAACTTGAAGCCAAAAATTCAAAAATTCAAAAATTCAAAGTTATATTCAGTGATTAAAATAAAATAATTACACAATACGAGATCAGATTCAAACATTCATGAAAGTAGTAATATAAAAGAGTAAGGACTAAAATGAAATAAACAGAAACATAAAAGATCACAAAGTAATTAAACCAAACATCAAACAATGACTAAAATAGAATATATACGAATATGGTGACCAAATTCAAATAACAGTAAAGATAATAAAATGCATGGGATCAGTGATTAAATTGAAATATTTGAAAATATTAAATCCAGAATCAAATATAGACAAATATGATATAAAACATGAACAGTGACTAATATATAACATTTGCAAATTTCATGACCAAATCTGAATATCAAAGGAAAATGCACAATAAATTGAAACAGTGACTAAAAAGAAATAAATATAAATATCACAACCAAATTATAATATCAGCAAACATAATATACAAATTAATGACTGAAATGCAATCATTAAAAACTAAAAGGCTCGAAATAAAACAGTAATAATTTCATTAAATGACTTAAATAAAGCATTACAAAGGAGAAGGGACCTAAAGTGTAGTTACCCCATGCTTGCAAAACACGGGTGCCCAGACCCTTGAAACGGCGCCGTTTTGAAACCCGTTTAAA